CCCCCGGGACCCCCTCCCGGACCCCCCCGGGACCCCCGGGCACACCTGGAGGCCCGAGACGGTGAAGTAGGGGATCTCGAAGCGGACGGCGATGGGCGGCCGCCCCTCCTCCTCCTCGGCGCGCACGCTGGGCAGCCCGAAGCGGGCGCGCAGCAGATGCTCCTTCCCCCCCTGCGACCCCCAGAGCTGCGTGGGGACCCCCCCGGGCACCCCCGAGATTTGGGGGGACACGGGGGGGGTAGGGGATGGGGGGGGGAGAGGGGGTGGGGGGCAGGGGGGCACCCCGGGACCGGGGGGACACCCCAGGACAGAGTTGGGGACACAGGGGGGATGCCCCGGGACAGGTTTTGGGGGACCCCAGGACAGGGTTGGGGTCCCCAGGCCAGGTTTGGGGGTCCCCAGGCCAGGTTTGGGGGACACCCTGGGCCAGGTTTGGAGTCCCTGGGCCAGGTTTGGGGACCCCAGGCCAGGTTTGGGGTCCCCAGGCCAGTTTTGAGATCCCCAGGCCAATTTTAAGATCCCCAGACCAGTTTTGGGGTCCCTCCGTGCCAGTTTCTGGTGTCCCCAGGTTTGAGGGTCACAGGGGACACTCCGGGCCAGTTTTGGGGTCCCTCCGTGCCAATTTTGGGGTCCCTCCGTGCCAGTTTCGGGATCCCCCCATGCCAATTTTAGTGTCCCCAGGATGGGGGTCACAGGGGACACTCCGGGCCAGTTTTGGGGTCCCCCAGTGCCAATTTTGGTGTCCCCAGGTTTGAGGGTCACAGGGGACACTCCGGGCCAGTTTTGGGGGTCCCTCAGCCCACTTTTGGGGTCCGGGCCGGGCTGCTCACCGGGAAGGTTTTGATGCTCCACAGCAGCGCGCTCCTCTCGGGCAGGTACCGCGCCGAACCCGCCGTGGTCTTGAATTTGGGCGAGTCGGCGTCGCCGGGCACCGGCACCGAAATCTCCACGCCGTTGGCCACCGACTGCTTCTTGAACTGGCCCTTGGCCTGGGGGGACACACGGGGACATTGGGGGGTGGTTTGGGGGTCCCCGAGGGGCAGGGGGGACCCCCGGGCTGACCTTGACCAGGATCTCCACGCGGCTGTGGGAGAACTTCTCGATGATGGACTCGATCCAGATCAGCGGCTTCACCTGGGGAGGGGGCGCAGGGGGGTCAGCCCCGGGGGTCCCCAGCACCCCAAAAAGGGTCCTGGACACACGGACGGGGGGCTGGACACACGGAC